TTTTGCCATTGTTGTTACATGAGTCACTGGAACTGGTAAGTGAATCACAAGTCATTAAGTGAATCCAGCTTCCTCCATTGACTTTGCTTGTCAGACGCCAGCTAGGAAGATCACAAATGGTGAGCACATGACCTTGAGATACCTCAACCATCATAAATACATGTGGGTTGCCAAGTGCCCGAACTCTGATCACATAAGGGGATGCTGTGACAGTCATTAAGTGCGAGCAACGCTCATAAGTTACTTTTTTTGGTGGTGTTGCAACTTCAAATTGTCATTAAATGGATGGTTGTAAGTTAAGGACTGCCTGGATAGTATAGTATACTGTTTCTCCTACTTTAAAATATGTCCTTCCCATTTTCAACTAAAAACACTTTAGCTTCCCTGTATTTTTTCTGCTTCATGGGTTTCCCAATAATTAAGGACAGCAACATCATTTAAAAATATTAAAATCTTGCCTTCAGAGTACAACTGTGCAGTATTTGGATGTGAAAGGGAGAATGTGTTTCAAATCTACCGTGGGCATGCTCGTGGCATCTGTCAGCAGCTCCTTGAAGAAGCTGCTCTTTTTTGCTAGGGCTGCCCAGAAGTCATACAATCCTAAGAAAATGTGTGTTGAGGTTGAAGTGTTACAGAAGCGGCAACAGAGTGGCTTTCAAATTTTCCATCCACATACTGCATACTTCCACTTCAAAGGAAAAGAAAATGGTAGCAGTGCCTGCCTTATGGAACAGGATGAGTCTGCTTACCCTGCCATGTTTTTCAGATCACATGAAGATTTTTTTTGCAGAGGCTCTTCCAATCTTTTTTTGGTTTCTTTGCTTTACTGTAAGGCTGCCGTGTCTTTATTTTAACATTATATTATGTTTTTAAGTCAACATAAACCACTCTGAAAGTCTTAACTATTGAAAAAATGAAATATATCGATGAAATCTAGCAGGCGCTGCAGCAGAGGAGCAGGCTGAAGGATTGCCTGCCTGGTTCAGAGCGAGGAGCCCAGGATACACAGAAACAAGGGCAGCCGAGTCCTGCTGTGCACGTAACAAGGCATTCAGTATTTTAGTGTATAAGTACCTTGAGGGGGGAAATGTAAAGCAAACAAAGAACACCTTAGCTTAATTAAAATAGAGTTTATTATTAGCTTCTTTTTTTAATACAAACATGACAAAGGAAAGCCACCTGAAGATGTAGCATTTATTTCAAAATTGAATTATAATCAATACCTGATGCCACAGACTGGGGCTGGTAGATTAAAATACTGTAATGAGACTAACAATTTGAGTGCTGCTGAACACTCAAGAAGCAAGCTTGGTTCATAATTAAATAGACAAAAAGAGTCAAAACTGTAAGAAGCACTGTCCAGTGGGATGTTTTAAAGTACAAACCACTTAGATATTGTGACCCAGAACTGTGAAGGCCTGTAATTGAGAATATGTCTTCTGTTCTTAAAAAGAACAATTTTATTTATTTTGAATTTCTGTTTTTAAAGAGCAAATTTAGTATGTAGGAAAAGCCAATATAATTTTACTTCAGAACAAAGATAATTAAATGCTAGGTTTCTAAGGAAAAATAATCCATTTTATGAATTGAGAACAACCGTATCTCCCTCATCAGGACCAGAGTGTGACAGTGGAATTTAAAGCTAGTTGGAAGCATATAATAAAAGCATTATATATTTACTGTTTGTAGTGGAAGAATTTAGCTGAGTAGCTCATCACCAAGTCAACACATTTGTTAGGGATTTCAGGGCAATTCTATTCAGCCTTCAAGAAAAGAAAGTGTATTATGAATTCTGTCTCTTCCACAACTTAACTAGGAGTACATAGGATGCACCAAAACTGACAAGAAATAGACCCTGAACCACTTGTTTACTTACTAGCAAATACAGATCTTCACTCCTTTGCTCCTCTCCCTAACATTTCCTTTTGCCGCGACAATCTCAAATGAAGAGATTTTGTTTACCCTTAGCATATACTACTCAGCAACTCCTTGTCCCAAATTGACCACCAGTGTACCAATAACTAGGGAAGTTTGAAGTGTGCATACTGAAGGAGGACAGGGGAGAGAAATCTTTGCTTGCTAATGCCACGGCATCAGTTCCAGAGTGACGTTTCGCCGTATGTATTAGCATGAAGGTTGTTGCACTGACTTGGAAAGGCAACTTCAGTTGGGTCCTGGATTACTGAAGAGGAAAGAACATTGTGACTATTTTGTTAATGTTCAAAGTCTAAGTTTTAAAACTAGTCATTATTTAAAATGCAGAGAGTTCACAGCTATAGGCCTACATAGTAAGCAAACATCTGTGGATAGAGGAGATTAGTGAGGAGAAAAGGGAAAAAAGACCAATTAAAAGTTTCTGCACCTCTGGATGTTAAAGGGAGTGTGCCCCTTTGACAAAGTTCCATCTTTTCTTCCCTGTGGAATTAAACTCCTCCTCCGGCTCTGAACTTCCTTGGCTTATTTGCTCACCCTGTCCTCCATGTGGAAGACACAATCACTGTTGACTGGTGAACTTGGAGTGAAGGTGTTATTCCACTTCTAAGGATGCTGGTGCCAGTGTTGTAGCTTTCCTTCTTGATCAAGAGAGGATGGCGTTAGAACGGTGAATGCCAACTAGGTTATCAGCACTGAAGGACCGTCTCATAGCAGCCTTTGACAAGTCTTTGTATTTGTCCTCACACAGCCGGGAGATTGCCTACAAAACATTTGTTTTAGTGTTATCGGAGCCAGAAAGATTCTGAACTGGCATTAATATAGCTGCATCACCTATGTCTTCACCAGCAACTATAATGGCCTTTTAAATTAAAAAAAAACAAACCCTTATGCTTGTATTAACGTTTCCCCCCCTGCAAAGAATGATCAAATAACCAGGTTTTTGAACATTTGAAGGGGAAGCAAACGTGTGATTTGAGTTGTACCCCCCTGCATGAAAAATGAGGGAAGATGGGAAAAACACCCCACTCTACATACTTGATGTATTCCCAAGAACTGGGAACTCTGTTTTACTTTTTCAGGAACACCTCCCTGGAAACAGAATGAATGATGATTTTTTTTTTGTAAAATACCAAAGTTATCCTAACACAAAGAAACGCTCAAGAAGACACATCAGCTCATTAGAATTTCTAAGATACTTCCATACTGACTTAAGCATCAATATGGATACTTGAAGGGACTCTTATTCATGACACACCAAAAATACATTTTACAAGAACAGACAGAGATACCCACAGTTCTCCTACCATCACCACCTGTATCGCAGCTGGGAATTTTCCACTACTTTTCCACTCTTACGGTCATGTGTTTTTCCCCCAAGCTGAAATCAGTAATAATATATGTTGCCAACACCCTTAGGGATGGTAATGTGAAAGAACTTCCAGTAACTGCTCACAACTGGTCTAACTTGGAGATCCCATTTCAGTATTCTTTGAAGCTGACAAAGAAAGTTGTGTACACTTAACTGGGAGCAAGTTCTTATTACATATAATAGGACTAAGTTCTCAATAGACACGTAAAGTCTTTATTATAAAAGTATTAAAGTCTCCATAAAATGTATAGATTCATCAGCATATGCAATGAGATTTAAGTTGCATATTTCACATGTCCTTTGAATTTTGATGCTAACCTGGAGAATTACAGCCTCAAAAATGGCAAATGTAGAGAGCATCACAGTTGTTAAGTATGAAAAACTCTAAATCTCTAGTGCTCATTCCTAGCCTTTTCTGCGCTGTGGAAACAGGATGCACACCTGTCCTCAGAATGGATTATCTCTTTTATCAACCATTTCCTTAACTAAGATGTTAAACAAAGTCCCAAAAGCTTCGTAAGTGATACTAGAGTAATCAACAGCCACAAAAACTGCTATTATACAAGCTAACTGCCCTGCACAAAAGTCTCACACTATTACCTCTAATTTCTGTGCTCGCTCTTTACTAAGGGGCTCCAGCAGAAAGCACAGGTTGTTGTCATCTGCTAAGGAGCGTAGGTCAAAGTAGTATTTGGCATAAACACTGGCAGGAACGTTGATATTGAACTGCAACAACTCCAAAAAGTGTCTTTCCATCTCATTCCTGGAGGAAAACAAGAGGATGACAGAAACACAGGATCAGGGCCTCTGGCTAAAGGCAAAACAAAGCACCCACCCAGCCTTTGGTAAAAAATGCTGATGTAGAGCCAAAGCATTTTTAAAGGAATAGAATTAATCTATTAATACAGTTAGAGGCAGAGCGCTATTTGAATTCTGGTATTTTCAACTCATGAAAAAGATTACATTCTGCCATATATTCACTCTGTGGATGCCCTTTTCTTTATTAGAGTTCCATAAGCCCAGCTTTACACAATTCATACTACATTCTTATAAGAACCTGCACTACAGTTATCAGATGAAAAGAATGATGGTGCTGTTGATTAGCTCTGAAGAACTTGCAGGCATTTTCACCAGATTCATAACAGGAAAGGGGTATGCTGAAGTAGGAGAGGGCCAACAAAAGAAGTAGGCATATCACCACGGCAACAAATGGATCTCTGAAGAGCAGCTGCTATTATTTTGGTGTATAAAGCCTCTTGAAGCAACATGGATTCATCTCCACAAATAAATAAATAAGCAAGCAGCTTTAGATAGGCAAAGGAGCTTTCTGTCCTGAAACTCCTAAGAAATTACTTTATCAACCTTAGCTGACAAAGGGAATTTTTTTAGTGGTGCTTATTTTGGCAAAATCCATCCTATATATCCATATCTGTAGGTCAGCACTTCTCAGGATGGACAGATCCAGAAAAAACAGAAGCAATCGAAGACATCACTGATTATCCAAATTCATACAATATTTTAAAATGAACAGGGAGATAATACAGGTAGTCTTGAACTTACAACGGCAATTTGGCCTGCTATTTCTGTTGCTAAGCGATGCAGTCATAAAACTCAACTGCACTGTTTAACAATGGCAATCCCTACAGTCCCATTTGCCTACAGTTCCAGCTGCCATCATCGTTAACCAAATCCCATGGTCATTAGGCCAGGCAACTTCTTGCCAACTTCCCACAACCATAAGTCAGCGCATAAATTAAGTCAGAAAATTGCAAATCCCAAGCCAGCAAGCAGGTAAGTGGCTGCTGAATGAGGGAGGGAGCAGGAGGGTATGAGGGAGGGGTCTGTGACAATTTGCTGTGGCCAACTAGCCACAGCCAACTCCTTATGGCCAACAGTTACACTAATATCAAAGAAATGGTGGAACAGAATAATTAAAGCAAGGATGCAAAAGGAGGGACAGAATGAAATGTGAATGGCAAAAATTAAAATGATTTTTTATTTATTTTAAATAATTGAATTATTAAATTGTCCCACAGCAAGTTGTCCCGGGGTTTGCTGCCTGTGGTGAGTTGGCCATGCAAGTTGCCCCATTCCACGATGAAGGGTTGGAGAGGTTGGCAAGGGGAAGTGTGAGAGGTGCAAAGCAGGGAGTCTGTGTGAGGGTGCCAGGGAGTGCACAAGAGGCATGTTGTGGGTAGGCTTGGGTGCATAAGCGTGCAAGAGAAAGCCAGTGTCTATCAGCTCAAACGATGGAGCTAGATCTCAAACCCGCAGAATTCACAACTTGAACCCTTGAATATATCAAAATATCCATTTCTTGATGACCTACAAGAGGATGGAAAAGTAATTGTTCATATTTAACTATATTTTCTAGGGACTGAAAATAAAGCAGAATCAATCACCTAGATGCTACTCATGGTGAGAATAGGAGCTTTGTGTGGCTTGCTTTTAGAAGATACACTGCAGTCCCATTAAATCTACTGCCAGAATTAATTTCCTGTTCATATGGTCATAAGGCTTATAGAAATGCAAATCAGATGATGTTTTGATGATCATCTCATCAGGACTTCATTTATCCCCTTTGTTCAAGACTTGCTAATACATTTTAATTGTGAAAAAATAGAATAGTTTTGTCAGATAACAACTCTATTAATAGGTTTAAAGCCTAGGAAAACAAGAAAGGCCCTTGTTGTTTTATTCCTATGACGTGCAATTCAATAGCAGGCTCCCTTTTTACACCCACTGTAATCTACAGAATTAGCAATTAACTAAATGTATTCCTCTCCATTCTTATTAAGACAGTCCACTAAAGATCTATATATGAGAGGTACATACATTTGCATCAATTTCCTAATTTTATATTTCTTGCTGCAAAATCAGAAATAACGTACATTGTACAAGGATAGTTCTGATGCATAATTTTGTTAGTCAAGTTATAACTTTTTCACCCCCAAATCTACCCCCTTCAAATCTATCAACCTTCAAATACTCATTCCCCATCCCATCCAATATCTCTTCACTTGCATACTATTATATCACGTTTATGTATTGTCACATGTATGTGACAATGTGTATGTATGTCATGTGTATGAATATATTTCCCTGAGAAGTGATGAAAAAATACACCAGGCCCAGTCTCCAGTACATTACTGCAGGGGTCCCCAACCTCTGTATTGCAGCCCACTAGTGGGCCGTGAGCTGTTTGCAACCGGGCTGTGGAGATGGCGGGTGAGTGCACGCAGATCCCCACATGCATGAGCAGCAGGCGAGCGAATCCCCTTTTCCCCACTGCTGGTCCGCAAAGCCAGAAAGGTTGGGAACTCTATTATTGTATAATCCAGCATGTTTCCTCCCACTTGTCCCCAATCACACTAGTGTATATAGCAATTTAGCTTGAAGAGAATCATTCTAGAAGCTTCCATCCATACCCTAAATGAAGTATCCCACTGGACAGGACAGTTCAGGAGGACTGCAGCTGGATAAAATAGTCTCCTATTAAGAAATCCCATCCCACACTGCAGTTTAAATGCTAGATTTATTCAAGCAAAGCTACAGAAATTCTATCCTATCAAGTTAAGGAATAAAAAGCAGAATTCTTCACATGCCTGCGGTGATGCTTGAACACGAAATCCCAAAATGTTTTCATTTCTGTGATCCCTCAAAAGTGCTTACAAGTGGACCTTACAGGATTGGATCAAGTACCAATAAAGATTAGTTTCACTGGTTCAGGAGAGGTTTTTTGTAGTTTACTCTGAGTGGGGTAGGTAGTAGACCGAAGTGTAAGGTTTGATCATGTGATCAAACATAATTTGTATGAATGTAGAACCATGTTGTCAAAGAACATCTCCCTTAAGGCCACTATTATCTCTCCAAAATTCAGAAATTTTTTGGAGTTTTAAGATGAGAGCCACTTCCATTTATGTTCTTAAACCCCTCTCCCAAAAAAGCTTTTTGAAAAACTCAAAGGAAAAGCTCCCTTCTTTCCAATAATACTGTCATTGCTTCCTACAGTCTTTCTAAAATGTCAGGAGGCAAAAATGTGGGAATGACCTCCTAAATGTTGGCTTTTCCCTGCAGTAGATTTTATTTTAGAGATTCTATCGTTAAACTATCCCTCTGCTCCTCCCTTCTGAGCTTTGTTTAAAAAAAAAACAAAAGTTTTTTTAGTATAATGAATCCACTATTTCCTTTTATCAATCAATATTTTAAAATTATTTTATATTACCTTCAAATTTTCTTTTTGTCAATTAGCAAAGGCATAAACATGAAGAAAACACGTTACAAAAATGGTGAGGAAGAGAGAAATGTAGTATCTGAGAAGCAAATCAAATCATGATGAATCGAACTTTGGGGATGTTCAAGTAATAAACTTCAGCAAGGATGTTGGATACCTAGCTACAATTTTAGAATGCATTATCTATACAGTATAGATAGGATAAGATATTTTTATATAAAGAAAAAATATTAAAAAGATAAGACACGGGCAAGCAATTTCAACTAAATTTGCTAGCTTACATGTCTTCCACTGTAATATCCTTCAGGATTTGGCAGTAATCCACATTCCACACAGCTTGATCATCCCACACTTTAGAAGCCAGCAGTATAGCACCTAGGACTATCCTCTTCCAGTTACTTGGACAGATGTCAATCTCTGCATAGGTCAAGAGTCTTTCTAAGTAAACCTGAAAATAAAGAACATTTGCACATTTTCAATGATTCATACTTTCTAGCTTCTTACAATGCCTCTTAACCGGAAGTCTGTTGCAACCTATGGATGTAAGAAGTGGCTCTCATACTTTCTTTGTGGATGACACAGATAAGGAAAATCTCAAAATTGTATTTTTCAATATTGTTTGCCTACATTGGGTGAGTCACCATGGCTTCCCCCTCATTTCAAATGTACGCTGCAAGTAAGCAGCTCAGCTCTGTGGCAGATCTGATACAGCTTTTTGCAGCAGCTTCTTGGTTTGGAAGAGAAAGGCAAAAATGTCAAAGAGAGAGAGAATGGACACCGACATGCTGCTTAGACTTCCCCCTGCCACTGCACATCATTATTCTTTACTGATATTTCCAATATTCTTTCTAAAGAAAAGCGACTCAACTGAAATTCTAACCCACATGCATCAGAACTTTGATTTTAAACTGATTAAATAGCACACACAATCAACTTCATTCTAGACAGAAAATTGTTTCAATGATTTTTAAATAAACAAATGCTCATTTTAAATATGCCAGAACGAATTACTTCAGCAGGTGCCACCACCTGACTGACTCTCTGTGCTCATAACTAAAGCAGGACAGACTGTTTTAATACTTGGACAGGAGACCTTCACAGATCCCAGGGTAGGTAGTCAGACTGGGAAACTGACAAGCAGTCTAGAAGAAATCAGTATTCAACCACTTCTGTACTGTGGCCTAGAAAATGTACAGGGACATCCATAGCTGCCAAGAATCAACCGAAAGAAGATTTATATGGCTGAGTATTAGTGCTCTCTGCCTGGGGACTGTCACTTCCCGGCTTCACTGTACATTCTGTATGTCCAAGATTTTAGACTCCACTGAGTTCAACTTATGATGTTTGTTGTTCCACTGAAAGGGCAAGGTAATGAACAGAGGAAGTGATCTCAACCAGGCCTATAGGAAGTTACTGTCATGAGACTTTCCTGTAGACATGTTTACATTGCTAAAAGTTTTCCTCATTTCCTAAAAGATAACTATTATTTAATTATATACACTGTGTGCACAATTATTAGGCAAGTTGTATTTTGGGGAATTAATTTTCTTATTGAATAACTATAGTACTCTGTCCAAAAATGTTAATAAACCTCAAACTGAATATTTAAGAAAGTAAAAGTGAGATTTTGGCTTTCTTAGGAGAATATCTATGTGTGCACAATTATTGGGCAACTATTAGTGTGCAGAATTATTATGCAACTAAATGAAAAATGAAAATTTGTCCATCTCACTTGTTTAATTGCATCTATTAAAGTGAGAATAAACAAAACTCAAAATGTACAAATAAACACTTCTGACATTTAAAAAAAAAATCAGTGACAGTTTCTTGATCTGCTGACGATCAACGTTTTGTGCAGCAGACCCTGTTCAGAGAGGTGTACTGTTTTCCTTCACCATAAATCTCCCATTTAAGAAGGGCCCACAAGTTCTCAATAGGGTTTAGGTCAGGTGAGGAAGGGGGCCATGTCACTATTCTTTCATCTTTACCAGCTAGCCATGCAGTGGAGTACTTAAAGGCATGCGATGGAGCATTGTCCTGCATAAAAATAATGGTCTTCTTGAAAGATGCAGACTTTTTCCTGTACCGCTGCTTGAAGAAAGTGTCTTCTAAAAACTGGTAATAGGTTTGGGAGTTGATTTTGAGTCCTTATTCAACCTGAAAAGGTCCAAATAGCTCAACTTTAATAATACCAGCCCATACCAGTACCCCACCTCCACCTTGCTGGCATCTGAGTCGAAGTGGAGCTCTGTGCCTGTTACTGATCCAGCCACGGGCCCATCCATCTGGTCCACCAAGAGTCACTCTCATCTCATCAGTCCATAAAATCTTCGAAAAATCTATGTTCAGATATTTCTTCGCCCAGTCAACTTATGTGTCTTGTTCAGTGGTGGTTGGATTTCAGCCTTCCTTGCCTTGGCCATGTCTCTGAGCACTGAACAGCTTGTACTTCTGGGCACTCCAGGTAGGGTGCAGTTCTGGAATATGACAGCACTGGAGGATAATGGGTTCCTGGTAGCTTCACGTTTGAGTCTTCTCAAATCTTTGGCAGTTAATGTGAGTCTTTTTTTCTCAGCACGTTTCTTGCAACCCTGTTGACTATTTACAACAAAACGTTTGATGGTTCTGGGATTATGCCCCAATATGTTAGCAATTTCAAGAGTATTGCATCTCTCTGAAAGACTTTTCACAATTTTTGACTTTTCAGAAAGAGTTAAATCTCTTTTTTGGCCCATTTTGCCTGAGGAAAAGAAGCTGCCTAATAATTATGCACACCTTGATATGGGGTGTTGATCTCTTTAGGCCACACCCTCCCTCATTGCACAAATACACATCACTTGATATGCTTACATCCACTAAGCATTCAAATTTATATAGCTTGGAGCGGACAATATGCATGAAAATGTTGATATGGTCAAAATACTCACTTGCCTAATAATTATGCACACAGTGTAGTTTCTTCTTCCTTAAAATTAAATCTGAAGTTTAAAAAAGATTAGAACAAATACCAACTAGGCAGGAACATGTTTTTTTTCTCTTTTAGTATGTTTATGAGACAAAAACATACCCCCTCAACTGAAAAGCCTGCAACTTCCACAATAAGCACTTTTATAACAGTAAGATGTGTTAAGCAGTCTACCTTATTACTCTTTGCCTATTACCAAATTTTGCTGTTTTGGTGATAAAACACTGCCAACTAGTGGCAGAAACATTTTAAATATGTATTTGAGACTATAAGAATGGATTTTTTCTAGTTATAACTCTTTTAGAAGAACTCCCATATAAGAGCAGAAACTGCAAATGGATTATGACCCACCAATGCCATAATGAAATAATTTGTCTGTAGGGCATGGGTAATTTTGTTGTAAGAGATGACACCATCATACAGAATTTTCTATCTGCAGACATCCAGAATGTAGAACAAAGATTACATTAAGATTACATTGATGTTGTTTCAACATGAAAACACCAACTATACTCTAAAGCACTAGCATAAAAAAAACTGAACTGTTTACCTAGATTTGTGAAAGATATTGAATAGATACCTCCAAAATAAATTCCCCACAGCCATAAGCATCTATTTCACACATGATGCATTTTTTCTTTTATTTAATTGTATCTGATTCTAGACAAGTCCCTTCAGTTTTTGTGGCAAGGTCTTTGGTAAGTGGCTTGCCATTGCCTCCTTCCCATGACATTAGTGGCATCTTCAATGTTAAGATATGGTTCAGGCTGGAATCTGTTTGTGCCCAAAGTCACTAGGCAGCATTGGCTCTTTCTATATATTTAATGCTGACAGTATATAAGACATCTTTAATTAAATGCAAGACAATCATAATTAAGCAAGACTTACCAGAGTCACTATTGCACATTCAGCTGTCAGCTGTGCTGCACTAAAAAGGGTACGTACAAAGCGATAAATGTGCTTGTGATCAGGATCATGCTTACAGTAGTCTTCTGGAACCTCTTCTCGCTGAAACATGACATAATTTGGAAGTACTTTAAAACTTCTATTAAAAAATAGTTGGGACTGAGTACTGAGCAAACATAAAGAATTATACTGTTGAGGCTCATATTCATGTCTTGCTTACTACAGCAGGAAGATACCTCAATATCTCATTTTTAAGAAAAATAGAACATAGAATACAATATAGATGCGTGTGTACACACACAGACACACACATCTATGTATATAGATGTATTGTTCTATATATAGATATATATAGTATACAAAATAGCTGTCCTAGTGATGCCATTCCATCTCCCCTAGCTCACTATGGGAGTAACCTGAAATTGTCTTTAGTTGTTCTGCTATTTGAGCCATGTAATCCCTCTATTCCTTGCAGTAGGGACCACATACAATACTTTGATGCTTCTGCTGGAGAAGATCTGGGATCTGTTTGCCTAGCTCCTATTGGCCATTTAGATTTGCTGCAGACCCTCTCATCTGGCTGCTGGGCCTTGAAAAAGAAATCTGCCTCTTTTCAAATGGGAAAAGAGTCCTGTAGCATCCCAGAGAACTGTATTCTAATAGAATTTAAGGAGATTAAGAAATATGGGTAAGCTGCTTTATTTGCATGTTTGATTTCTTTTCAGACAAGGATTACAGAAAGACTGCAATTTTCTCAATGTAATTAAAGCTATGCTTTTAGCCTTCTGTAAGAAGATATACTGGAATCAAGAATAGAACCAAAGGTCCAAGGATGCTACTCTGCAGTATGTCTTAAAAATCAGGAGGTCAAACATCTATCTGGATATGTTTAGACTAAAATGCTTCTTTGTACATCAGGAGAAAGAAAGCTAAAAATCCAACTTCACTTTTCTTGCAATCTTGATTTGTCTTATAAATGGAAAAAGTATTACCATTTCAGAAATAAAAAATTAAAATATTCAAAAAATCAAGTGAGACTATGAATATAAAAACAAACTGATTTACCGTGAGTGGATGTGATTTTTCATCAAAAATATCCAGTGATCTATCTGAATCCCTGCAACAAACAAATAGGAATGCCACTGGAATTAGTAAAACTTGATCATCTTTTGCCCATAGTCTATATGCCAAGGCACTATATTTTTTCTCCATCATCTTCTCATTTTGCTGTTAAATCCTAAATATTTAAAGCAAATATAATAAAATGTATACTTCCTAGCTTTCAATGTTAGTTATTATACTTGTTACTTTTGATCAGGTTAAGAGTTTACATGAGGCCTTGGTTTTCGAACAGGATTTAGAAGTGTAGAACATGCAAACATGGCTGTAACTTAAAGGATGATATATAATGCAACTCTGCTCTCTCTATATATATGATAGCCAGGAATGAAATTGTAGTTAACGGAAGAAAAGAAAGCAGGAGTTCAATGGGTGAAAACTTTCTAGGACACAAAAGGAAATCAGTCACCTGCAGACTTCTAGGATCATAAGTGATCAGACTGTGTTAGAGTTCTGATTTTCTTTTAGACGCCCTCAAAACCTTTGCAACTGCTTTTTCCATCAGTCTCAATCTCCATTTTGGATGAACTTAACTACAGTTTTTGCAGCTTATTTTGCAAATCTGGAGAGGAAGTAGTCAAAGTCTCATCTGAGCAAATTTGATACAGAGTCAAAACCAAGGTGTAAAAGCCACCATAAGGGGCATAAACATCCAAGCTCAAAATGCTTCTTGTGAAGACCTTTTAGAGCCTCAGTCTTTTCTCATAATTTGTGAAGAATACAAGCCCTACACTCACCCAGATAGTGACAGAGCTAGACCCGGTGAGTCACTGTGTAGCCTATATTTAAGGAACACCCTTCACTCTTATGGGACTATCTGCAACATTCTGCAATGGAAAAATGACTTAAGCAATATGCATAATATATAGCTTTTCTTCCCCACTTATGCAGCTGCTATGTGTACAGAAGATGCCAGATAACTATCTTCAGATAAAGGAAGTCTTTTTAAAAAGGTTCAGGGCAACCAGTATGCAGCATTTTTATTCAATGGCTTCCATCTCATGGTTTTTTACAGCCAATTCTCCATTATTTAAGGAATGAAATTCAGCAAGGAAGGTGTCAACTAATTTACAATAGCATCATTTAAAGAAACATGAGAAAGATTAAATCAAATTTCCCAGACATATTTCTTCCTCTCTTCCATAAGCCATGTTACCGTTTTATTGTATTTCATTTTAAAAATTAGACTTTGCATGTGCAATTTTGCATACTTTCTTCCTTCTGTTTAAATCTCTAAACATTATTTATTTAAAATGTTTTGTAAGGTTATGATTAGACTATTGGAACCTGAACAGACCACGTGTTGTTCTTCTTTGTGGTCTTGTCCCATTCCAGCTGATGCTCCCAGCCCACTGTCACAATAACAAAGGGGCAAACAAAAATAATACCTTTGATTGAAATACTGAAGGAAGGTCCAGATATTGGACAGATTTAAGTACAGTATTTTATTTTCAGTAAGCAAATGTGAAATAACTATGGTTTATAAGATCAATTATATATGTGTGTACCACATATATTATTTAATTAATCCTTCATTTACATAAAGAACACCTAATTTAATAAGTGCATTGTATAGAGGATGATGATCAGTCCATCAGCCTTTCCTTCAATTCTAATTCCCAAGTAAACACTTCCTAAATGGGTTGGTCCATACCTCTGGAGATACCACAATTGAGGAGATGCATATACTTAATCTTAGCTATTTACAGGAACTTAGCATTCACTTTTCAAATGCCCAATCTTTATACGTTTTAATATATTTAAAATTAAATAAATTCATTTCAAAAAAGCAAAATGTTGGATTTTTGTATCTTAAAATTGATTTATGTGTGGCCTTTGGCTGTAATAAATTGATATTTGATATCTTAAAATCTAGGTTAAAATGATAGCTTACTCAAAAGTCTTAAGAGTTTTACATTTTCTCAAAGTATGTCCTTCTTCCAATCTTTAGGCATTAGCTCATATCAAGTTATTCCACCATGGAAATCCAACATTGTTTGAAATTATTATTCTTTTAGATCAGTACAAAATATAGACAAAATATCAAGATACACTACACTACAATAAAAAAGTTACTATAAACAATTCCTACAGTTAAAAATAATTTTTAAAAATGGGAAAAAAGGAAAAGAAAATCTTTTTATGGAATCCCAATATAACAAAACAGGCCAACATATCAGTCATAGCTCTTGATATCTTAAGAGCAAGTAGCAAAATTACAGACTGCATCTTTACAAGGAATTACAAGCATGATCATTACAAGCAATTTCAAACAAGAAATTTTAGAAACGCTCACCTGTTCTTTATGTGATAGTATATTGCTAAAGTAACACTGAAAAGAAGAGAAGGTCATTTAATTAGAAGCAAAGCTATGAATGTAATTTTGATACATAATTTGTTAAAGAACATTTTTAAACCCACATCATGTTTGAACTTTAGTTCTCTCCCGTTTCCCATGTCCCCCTTTCACCTTAAATTCTAAAGCATTGGTTTAGAACAGAATATTGTACACGTCCAGGTTTAATAGATGTTTATAGAAGGTTAAAAATTATCCTATTCCAAACAAGGGCCAATATAAAACTGTGAACAAGCATGAATCTTGATACAGTCAAAGCACCCAAGAGTCTAAATAACTGTTTGGATATCAGCATGCACTCCAGGGTACATTAAGTGGAGGAAAGAATGCCTTAATTGAGTGGCCTCGAAGTGATCAGATCCAAGGGTCAAAGTATCTCAGTGAAGTTATGAATTCAGCATTCACTGAGCAGAGCAATTCTCTAATCTGCAGGATCCGATCCGGGGTCGGTCACCTGGGACTGGAGGCTTTGTCTTCCAAGCTTTCAGGCTCATGCTGGAGCCCCCATCCCCTCAGGGAGCTCCTCTCTAGAAGATTGAAGTCCTCCTGAGAGGATGGGGACTCCAGTACAAGAGTCCGAAAGATGACCAGTCCCAGATGACCGACCAGAAAGAGTCTGGTCCCAGATGACCGACCGGTCCCAGATGACCGGTCCCAGATGACCGACCCAGATTGGATCCTGGAGCTTATCCTGGGACACGTATATTCGCCTTAATTCTCTAATCTTCCCAATTCAAAAGCTCCAAATTATTAATATTTATAATTTATTGAATTTGTCAGAAGTAATATTCGAATAAAATTTAGAAAGGGAATTAATTTCACTTCATTTCGTTCACTTGATTTAGGCACAGCCTGACTCCAATTCATTTTGAACACGATAGGACCTCCCTGCAAAGGGCTAAATCGATTTGCATGGATTGTCCTGCCAGGTTGACAAAGGTCAACGAACAGTATAAGGCACTTCTAAACAAAACTTATTCATTGGGTTGAACTTGTGTTCAGCTGGTTCCCAACAAAACTGGAAGTTAGTCTTAAGATCCTGTTATGGAAAAAAGGAGAATAAATTCCAAACTTTCCCCCCCTAAATGTTGCTACGTTGATAGTTGGGATTCAGATGCATCATCCTTCAAGTATGTCATAACTGAAATGCTTTACAAATTACACTTAAAAGTGTCTTAGTTCCAAGCTTTAGCAGTTATTTCAGTTAACACTAGAGGAGATATTTCTAGACACATTTTTTTTAGATTTTTATTCTTTTTTTCATATACAGCTCAAAGTAGCAAATATACCGATATTCCTCCCTCCTTGTATTTTCCCCAAAACAACTCTGTGAAGCGAGCTGGGCTGAGAGTGACTGGCCCAAAACACCCAGCCATCTTTCCTGCCCAAGGCAGAACTAGAATGCACAGTCTCCTGGCTTCTAGGCTGATGCCTAAACCACTAGGCTAAACTGGCTCTCTTCTTCATATTCTCATAGATTATTTATTATAAATGTATTACTATATATTTTAATAAATATAGTACAGTACAATACAATACAAAATATGCAGGTACTCCTCACTTAACAAATGTTAATTGGGACAGGCAATTCCTTCGCCAAGTGATGCGGCTGTAAAGCATGGTGTCATATAACTGTGCTGACTTACAAAGGCAGTTCCAGTTGTGGCCATCAGGTAAATCTTGCACAGCTTCAACTCTCCCCCCCCCCCCCAAGTTGACTCTGCCTGTTGGAAGCTGGCAGGGAAGGTCACAAATACGAGAGGAATCAATAGGGACCATCATAATTGTGAGCTGATCATTAAGGATCCAAATCATAACAACATGACCATGGGGGCACTGCAATGGCTTCAATTATGAGAATTGGTCATAAGTCTTCTCATTCAGTGCCACCGGAACTTTGAACAGTTGTTGAATGAGGTCTATCTGTAATATCAATAGTATTTAAATGAGTTGATCTTATACAAAATGGGCCTTCGTTTGGGGTTCGGAATTAACTATACTAGTCCTGTTTTCCCTGCACTGCAGGATTCTACTTGCTTAGACTACTGTAAAGTTCAGGTATTTAAAGCAAAACTTGAATTTCTTCTAAACTATGAGCTAATAATCTCTTCCCTAAAGTCTGAGGATATTTAACAAATTTCAGCCAAGAATGTATTGTTCTGATTTAAATATCTTAAGGTTACAAATCAACAATGATACATATTTTTGAAGATGGTCAAAGATAAGAATAGGAACAATAGGATTAGAAATCAGTATCAGATAAACAATGAATAATAGGGGTGGGGGGAATAAAATATTAGCTGTATCCCCACTTCCCAAATTTAGAGGACTTTGGAATCAAATTGATGGTAACATATAGATGTTGCTCTACCAATACTGGGAATAAGGGGAAAAAATCTGTTTTAGCCTATACTGATTTACCACTTCTAGATTTGGTATGAATTTTTCTTGGATTTCCTATTATTCATAGATTAAAGTGAGTTTAATCCAATATAACCTCACACAAAGTGATACATACCATTTTATTGTGCTCCTAAGATTAGGTTGGCTGACTGTGCTGTCATCTATAAATATAGTTGAACATGAACTATACTTTTTTGTAAGCTGCCCCGGGGAAACCTATGTGGAAAGAAAATATATATATATATAGGAGTTTATAAAAATGTTTGAAAACCCATGATTTCTGGGTTTAATCAGGATTCAGTACTATGCATGTTAGAATCACATAGACAATGTTATTAAATAGAACAAAAATATATGAATAGAATAGAATAGAATAGAATAGAATAGAATAGAATAGAATAGAAGCTGGAAGGGACCTTGGAGGTCTTCTAGTCCAGCCCCCTGCTCAAGCAGGAGAACCTATAACATGTCAGACAACTGACTGTCTAGCCTCTTCTTAAAAATCTCCAGTGATGGGAGTGCCCACGATTTTTGAAGGCAAGCTATTCCACTGGTTAATTGTCCTCAATGTTAAGAAGTTTCTCCTTAATTCCAGATTGCTTCTCTCTTGGTCAGTTTCCAACCATTGTTTCTTGTCCTGCCCTCTGGTGCTTTGGAGAATAGTTTGACACCCTCTTCTTTGTGGCAGCCCCTCAAATACTGGAATACTGCTATCATGTCGCCCCCGTTTCTTCTTTTCTTTAGACTAGCCAAACCCAAATCCTGCAGTCATTCTTCTTATGTTTTAGTCTCCAGGGCTTTGATCATTTTAGTTGCTCTTCTCTGAACTTTTTCCAAGGTCTCAACATCTTTTTTGGAGTACGGTGACCAAAATTGGTTGCTGATTCCAGATGTGGTCTTACTAGGGTTTTATAAAGCAGTACTAATACTTCACGTGATCTTGATTCTATGCCTCTGTTTATACAACCCAGGATTGTATTAAGGAGGGCATTTAAATAGCTGGCCTGAGAATCAATAAGATAGCAAAAAGAAAGCAAAAGAAAGCAAAAAGTAATATTTTCAGCAATGGCTAGTGGTGATATAAACACCAGTGGACACCACTATTTTTCTTTTCTTGGTACCTGTTTTTCTTTTAAAGACTACCTGGCAAAGATAAAGAAAAGAAATAAGACTTTCCAAGTAATAAAACACATGGCAGAAATTTGTTTGATCATTATGTTGAACACATCAGCACTTGTCGAAATATCAGGAACAAATTCATTGAGGTTTCAGAGAGAAACCACAATGGAGTGAATCACTCTCCCAGTCCCAACTCAGATCAAGATCCATTTGTTGCTATTTTAAAAAGGGTAAAATTGATGTGACTATGTATTTAACATTTAATACATCTTCACATCAAAGCAAGGGGAAACAAATGTAGTTAATGCAGCAAGAATAGATCAAACATTGGTATTCAAATTCAGGAAAGTAAACTGTGAGGAGTCAAAGACTCATCTGTAAAAGGGAATGCTACATA